TTTTATCGGTTTTGAAAATTCGTTTCCTGTTTTCCTGGATACTCTTTAGCCAAACTTGGATGACTTCAAGTGTTAGAAGAATAGCTTCATGGATATATGATGTTTGAATTCATTACTCAATGTTTTGGGGATATGTTGTGTTTTTCTTCAGTCCATTGACAAGATCTTTGTAATTCATTCTGGTTGTATGTGCTTTTTGTTCGTCTTTTCCTATCTTCTTAGCTTTGTTGTCTTTACCTTTTTGTGTCACACGGAAAGGAAGGTAAAAAGGCAAACTTGAATTCTGAAATTGGAGAGAATGTTTTCAGCATTTTCAAGAATTGATAGGTAATTTAAATGTTATTACACCTCTTTCTCTCGTTGTCTTCATGTGTTGGCACTTTTTAAGGTTTTCTGAAAAACTCTAACTTAAATAGAGAAGTTGACTGATAAGCCTTTACTTAGGAAAGTGTTTGTTAGGAGGCATAAGCGTGTGTAATTGGTTGGGTACTAATTTTGGTTCTTGGTTTGATCATGTGGTTATGTCAATAAATTGAGTTGTATTAGGTGTGGGATTGTAAGCATAAGAGTAAAGAGTTGTTTTGGGAAAAGTCTTGGAGAGAATCTAAGCAAGGGAGAGCGACCAGTTCCTCAAATTCTTGGGAATTTAGGAAATTATTGTACGCCTATCAGCAGAATGTTACATGCTAACAAACTGTGTTACATGCCTATACTAAGCATGCTACACGCCTACTGCTAATGGAGAAACTAAAAAAAATGTGTTCTTTAATTTTTTACAACCACCCATTTATAGAGCACCTATTAGAGTCATAGAGAAACTCTATCTTATCTCTTAAAATAAGGTCTTTGAAAATAAGAGATTAATTTAATTTTATATCCTATTCAAAATCAAATAATATTTCTATTTATTTTTGGAACAATTTTCTCTCTCCTATGAATAGGAGAATTTGGCCACCATAGGGATAAGCCTCCCGTGGTTGGCGCACCTGGTAGTCCAGGAGGAGATAAAATTCCTATTTTATCCTGTTATCTAATTTTGACTGAAAATAAAATTTTCATTTAAAGTCAAACTTCAAACCAATTTGAATTCTAATTGGATAACTTGTTTAGTAAGTAAACTAGACAACTTATAGTGCAAGTAACCAATCCCAGAGGGATTTATATGCTTTCGCGTGTTCCTCATGTGATCCTCACCTCATGTGTGTTTTAAAATTAAATTATCACATAATTTAATATGCTTTAAAGTGAGCGAGAAATTGTTAGGAAAAATGTCCTGAAAGCATATAATGTTTTTTGAATTATGAAGGGGAAACATTTTCTTTGGTGACTCTTAAAAAAAACAAATGTTTTTTTTTATGGGGCTCTTTTTTTTGAGGGAGAAATAGGAAAATAGGTTAAAATTTGAGATGAATTAAAATTAATAGGCCGATAGTTTACATAAGTTAATAAATAGGTCAAATTATTATTTTCGTCCATAACTTGTTTGGTTATGAACCATAACTTGACAAGTTATTGTCCATAATTGTCCATAACTTGTCTGGCTATGAATCATAACTTAACAAGTTTGTCCATAACTTATCTGGTTATGAACTATAACTTGACAAATTATGGCCTATTAATTTTTATAACTAAAAATTGGTCTATATACTTTCTTAAGTTTTTCATATTGGGCCAGCTAAACTCTCAAACGTATTACTAGAAGGCAAAATAAAATTCAGTGGGAAAAGAAAAAAAATGGTTTACAGTGACTGATGACTAAAACAAAATAGTTTTTATCCACTTATTAAATTCTAAATTGCAGCCTGTAATCAAGCGCACAATATGCCAAATTCATAAAACCATTCATTAATAGACAAATGAGAAAATTACTCGTACTATAAATGCTTCCAGCGTATTCATAAAATGGTTAGGAGTTATAAATATACATGTCTCTTGACCGTTGTCTTCATCTTCTTTATCTTCTTCAAAGATTCAGATCAGTTTTTTTTTTTTTTCTTTTTTTTTTTAAGTGTCTGAGGTTAAGGATTGAGGAAACACTTATACTTTAAGTTTACCATAGCATTTATCTTTTAACGTGTTCTGCTCTTTTTGATTTAATGAAATTAGTTTTTACCAAAGTATTCCGACTAAAAACTTGGTAAAAAGGAACATATATACATGCAACGTGCAGAAGAAGAGAAACATAAGTGAAAAATAATTATTTGAATCTAGAAGAATTGGTTAGGTTAAGTCAAGAGCTCTTGTTCTTATAAAAAGGAATGTGATAAGAGGACATGTATGATATTTTTAATTTGTTATTAAAAATAAATAAATATTAAAAATGTAAACAAAAAATGGCAGTGAAAAGCTTGTAAAGAATATTAAGTACATTAGGCAAGGATAGCACAATTCCTATGTTATAACCTGAAAAGTTTAAGATATTAAGTAGAATTAATTATTTAATTAATTGAGATTATCCCTCTAATTTTTATATCGTCATTTTCTCTTAAAAGAATCAAAGGTAATGATCTATTTACTCGATATGCAACCATGCTACATGATAGAACTTGCCAAAGGAGATGCGAAGAAAAATATCCAGCATCAAGAGTCACTGGACATTGCCAGAAAGAACCAAAAGCACCAACTGGAGTGTCTTACTGCTACATTGAATTTTGATTCCCAAACTTGATTTATACTGTTTATGTTCTACCCGCAACTCAAATTTTCTGTCTATTTTATCTGTCAATTTCTCTGTCTAACTAATTATTTACTGACACATTATCCCCTCCATAAATGGCACAAACGGAACAACAAAATTGTGTTCTAATTTTTGTATCAAAATACATCGGGAACTCTGAATTCAAATTTCCTGTCTATTTTATCTGTCAATTTCTCTGTCTAACCAATTATTTACTGATAAATCATCCCCTCAATAAATGACACGAAACAAAAAAAATTAATATACAATGGACAGGGGATTTGGGTTTGAGAACTACCAAATTACTGCTGCTATGTATTTTTTTTTTCTCTCTTTTAACTATTGCTATGTATTACAAAAATGGCAGTTGGTAATGGGTGCCCGTTCATATGTTCCTAGAATAATGGTATGTTATATTTCAAGAAAACATTTTTTTTTAAAATTATAATCAAAAGCACACAATCTTTGCCCACAAATAGTGTTTGACAGACTACATATTACTGAATATTATGACTTCCAAACATAAGATTGAGATTCCTATTTTGGCAATTTGTCCCATTGTCTTAAATACTAATACTTTTATGAAAGACCATAAGATTTATATGTCCTTTTTTTCCTTTCTATAAAGAAAAAGGATGGAGAGAAGTTTAATAATAAGAATCGATGTTTATGATATTGTGAGAAATTAAGTATTGTATTTTTATTAATAAAAATAATATTGTTTTTGTTCTCCATAATATTTATGAGCAAATATCATAAAAATTCAATATTAGCTAAGTGGACTTGTTACGTAGAGTTCATAAACTTGTGATACAAATTTAAATGACTTAGTATAAAATAGCTGTAAATAAAACTCGACACTATTCATGTTATATTTTTTCCATAAAAAACTTTCTGCGTTTTCCTCTTCCGAATATGTAATACCTTTCATCTAACTCTATTAATACAAAAAAGAGCCGAAAGCTACTGCTAAGACCTCAATTTCTTTTTTTTCTTTTTCTTTTCCCTTCTTTACCTTTTTATCTACATTTTTTTTTTCTTTTTAAGTCTTTTGATTTTTGATTTTTTATTCTGTAGATGTTTTTTTTTTTAACATCTACGTGTGTTTTTCAAAATTATATTTTCTTTCATTTTACACTTCTGAAATTATTACTTACAGTTTATAATTTCTTACGCTTGTTTTTTAAAATATATTTTTCCTCATTTTACTCTTATGAAAATAATTTCTTTTGCATTTGTTTTTATTTAAAATTTTTTTTTGTTAACAGTTAAAATAATTTTTCTAACAATACAAAGAGCCAAAGTATATATATAAAAGTTAATACGTCATACAAATCCTGGGATACAAACTCTATACAAACAAAAAGCGCTCATCACAAGCGTCCTGTGACTCCACTTGGCTTTCCCTGACATTATAGATACACCTATAAAAGTTGGAACATTTGTACGAGAATAAATAAAGCAACTGGAATAGATACACCTATAAAAGTTAGAACAAGAACCCACTTTAATCTTCCGATGAATGCTACCATCATGCTTGACATAGAACAGATTAGCAAACGAAGGAAATCCTCTTTTCCATAATTTGATGTGAGAATGGAGAAGAACGCTAAGGTTGAGATTGAGGCGGAAACTAATGTTAGAGAGATTGTAATATATCTCTCAATCTTGATATCACAAAATTAGATTAAAATACATTCGGAAAGAGTAGGCTGACGCAAGCACGCGCTGCAGCGCGAAAGAGTGCGCGCTGCAGCCTGCGCAAAACAGACCCTCGGGTCTGTTTTACTAGGCATGCGCGCTGCAGTGCACAGAAGCGTGCGCTGCAGCGCAAATCTTTGACGGAAAATGTGTTCGTGTGTTTTAGTGATCTGAAAAGGTCTCGAACCATTGTATCTATTTGTGATATGTTTTCTCACATATCTGAGCACTTATTAACAATAGAAATAACTATTGTTATAAGTGCATCAGCATATAAAAGATAACCATCAAATTGAAAAGGTATCTTTATGTGAAAGGTTGTAACTCTTAAAGAGGATGGATGCATCCCTGTCTTTATACGATGGACTTCAGAAAATACATATGATATACATTGTTCTGGAACTCAATATTTTTGCTGGATATTGTGTTCAAGGGTTTGTTGTATCTTGGGGGTAATTTGCCATTTAGAACTCGTTAGCAAACTTTGAGAAGTGAGGGCAAATAAAACCTTAAAGGAAAGTATTCCTATACGCCTCAAACCCTTCTTTCTGAATTCTCTATTCTTTTCATCCTCCTAAATCCGAATTTCTCCAACATTCTTTAAGGTTTTAAACTTGCTGCAATGGAGGTTGAAAAGAACATGACGTCTTTCCTCAATCCTAATGTTCAACTTGATCGTTTTGATGGTACCAACTTCACCCGCTGGAAAGGAAAGTTATTCTTTCTCTCACCGTGCCTTAAGATCGCCTATGTACTTGATCCGAAATTGGAGCCACTTCCTGAACCAAAGGAGGATGATTCTGAAGAATTGAAGACCGCAAGGAAGAAGCGAGGAGATGATGAAATCATGTGCCGGGGTCATATTCTCAACACTCTCTCCGATAGGCTCTACGATCTTTACAACTCGATGGAGTCTCCGGTGAAGATTT